CGGCCGAGCCCCGCCTCCGCGCCTTCGGAAGCCCAGTCTTACGGGGCCGAATTCCAGCGGCCTCGCCCGTGGGCACCGGCGCCCGCGGGGGCCCGGGACGAGAGGCCAGGCCGAGGCCGGGCTCGGGGGCTGTTGGTGCGGGGCGCGGCCGCCGCGCGTCCAGGACGCTAGGCTACGGGGGCCCCTGGGCTCGGCCTGCGTCGGGGGCCCTTTACACCCCACCCCTCCCAGAAATGGGAGTCCGCGGGGACGCGCAGGCCTAGGGGAGGCCGGGAGGGGCGGTGCGGGCCGATGGACCCCTGCTGCCTCCAGGAATGACCCGCGCCCGCACCGTAGGCCTGCTAGAACTCTCGCCGGTGGAGCGGGGCGTCGTGAGCATCTTTGGCGTCTCCAGCCGGTTCTTCGTGGCCATGAACAGCAAGGGCAAGCTCTACGGCTCGGTGAGTACCGCAGGGGCCGGCCGGGCACCCGGGTGGGGCGGCGTGCAGCGTGGGCCGGATCCAGACGCCCGGGACCGACCTGAGCCTGGATGGTGGATCAGAGGCGGGGTCACGGGATGCCTTGGCGAGCAGCGCCCCACTTCTACCCGCGAACTGCCCAGAAACGTGGTTGGACAGTCACCGTGGGGAGCGGGGAAGTGGGCAGCCCAGATCAAGAGGAACAGCTTGGAAGCAGGAACGCTGAGGTTCCCGGCACCCCTGGGTGGCCGTCTCCTGTCCCGGCACACACCGTTGGGAGCCCTTCTCTGGGGGCCATGGGGATCCTAGCAAACAGGGCTGAAGTCCTTACGATGCGCGGAGGCCAGCTGAAATTCTCTGGCCACCAGGAGTTGGCAGGTGGCAGAAGCACCAGCTGCCGTGGGCTGGCCTGGCTATGCCTCTCCTCACTCTGTGGGGGTCCTGACAGCCCAGCTCCCCAGGGTCACCTCTCAGCCTAGATGGAAAGGAGTCCCTGGCCGCTGGCCCCCAGGGTCAACCCTCACGCTCTTCCCCTTTTCTTCAGCCCTTCTTCACCGAGGAGTGCATGTTCAAAGAAATCCTCCTCCCCAATAACTACAACGCCTACGAGTCCTACAAGTCCCCCGGCATGTTCATCGCCCTGAGTAAGAACGGGAAGACCAAGAAGGGGAACCGGGTGTCACCCACCATGAAGGTCACCCACTTCCTCCCCAGGCTGTGACCATCCGGAGCCCCCGAGAGGGAGGCATGCAGGACAATGTTGGTGCACTTTCTTTGGATGGAGAGTTTAATGCAAGAGTAGGTGTAACATATTTAATTATTTAAATGTGTATATATTGCCACCAAATTATTTATGGTTCTGTGGGTGTGTTTCATATTTTCTCTGGGGAAAAAAAAAAAAAGACGAAAAAAGAAATCTACTTAATCTGGTGCAACTGTGGAGAACCTGACCGTTGGATTTATTGAACTTGTCAAAAAGTTGTCACAAATGTGCTGCTATTCTGTGTTTTTAAAGCAATGAACTTGGATTCTGTGATCAGCCCTGCTTGCACCTGCTGGCCCCCTTGAGTATGGAGGTGAGCGTGCCTGAGTATGGAGAGGCCTTTCTGGGGCTTGGGAAGCCCTCTGAGGAAGCTTCCAGTCTTGTCTTTCTCTTCTAGCATCTTCCAGCGTCCCACTCCCTGCACTCTGTTGCTATTAATTGGGACATATCGGTTTACTTCAGGGACAGAGAGTGCACAGTCAAAGTCCTCCTGCCGCTCTGTTTTTAGACCTGCCAAGGCTGACCTTTAAACCCGTGTAGTCAATCTTCCTCCATCCACCAGGCGGGAGAGCCGCTTGCAGAACTGCATAAACTCTTGTCTTCCTTTTTTGGGATCACCCACAGCCATGCTGGAGGCGGAGGGGAGGAGGCAAACACAGTTCCCAATTCCACTGAAAGGAATGGAGAGCGCCCCCCTGGCAGGCTAGGAGGTGGACAGAATGGGGCAAGATGGCTCTGTTTGCAGCCACAACCACAACCCCAGGGATGAAATCTCATCTGTGAGAGCAGATACTTCTGATGATGTAAAAGCAAACCAAACCTGTTGCCATTGAGTCGATTCCGACTCACAGCAGCCCTGTAGGACAGAGTAGAGCTGCCCCATCAGGTTTCCCAGGAGCAGCTGGTGGATTCGAACTGCTGACCTTTTTGGTTAGCAGCCGAGCTCTTAACCACGGTGCCACCAGGGCTCCAATAATGTAATGGCACCTATGAAAAAACCACCAGGCTCCCCTGGGCTGAGGACACATCAGACCAGAATGAGCTGTTCATTGTAGATGAAACGTCCCTGTCTGTCATTGTACAAAACACTCCTTGCGGTGTTTGCACCGAGGATGCTGCTGCTTCTCTCTGGGCGTTCCCTGATTAAGTGGATTTAACGTCTACCTCACAAGCCCTTAAACCAGTCATCTTACAAAATCCGTGGAGAGTTCAGACTGGGTCCAGGGTTTGCCATCCCAAGTAGCTTTTTTTTCCATATGTAGCCAAAAAGGGTTGCAGATAGCTTCGTTCGGTGCATCCCATTTGAACCTTGTCACGTTTGAGCTATCTTTACCCCGTGATTTACTTTTAGTAAGGATAATCATGGTGAAAATATTTGCAGACAGCTGTTACGGTGCCCTATATGGTCACCAAGTAACCTTATATTTTTCTTTATATATTTTACAAATGGAACCCTCCTGTCGTTGAAGCAAAGATGGAAGAGGCAGGGTCGATAATGTCTAAAAAAAGTTCCGAGGTGATGGCAAACGTTTAATTTTAATGAATGACTGTTTAGAGTTGATACAAAATGATCTTCGCCTGCTACCAGGAATGCTCCGAATGCTTCCCCAAGACTTCCGTGCGCGCGGAGGACGTTTCTGAGCTGTCTTCCCAAATTAACTTTATGGGGGTCTACTGACGACTGGAAGGTCTGACTGGAGTTTTTGTCTTTCACATTCCTTTTTAAAACTCTTTGTTTGAATGCAAATCATCTACTTACAATACTATTCTTAACCGAGGCCTGGGAGAGAGAAGCGTCTCGCAAAACCACTCAGGCAAGAACCACACTTCTTAAAACGTCTAGTCCTACGATAATAGCAATGCTGGTTTTTGTTTTTTTAATTTTAAGTTTTAATTTTAAACCATGCCTGAAACTCCAGGTGGGTTGAGGAAAAGTGATGCCTGAACATCTTCATGCCGTTTGGGGAGGAATTTACGGACCTTCTGCATTTAATGTGTTCACTCCGTAACCATGATCGTGTTAAACACAGTAAATTATTATGTCTTGTTTCAGAGCCCAATCAAATCGTCAGGAATTAAGATGTCTTAAGTACAGAATTCTGGCATCCTTGATCATATCGAAATGTGCGTGTGCGTGTGTGTGTGTATGTGTGTGTATTTCTTCCGAGTATCATGTGTGATGCATTTGGAACATAATTGTACCTTTGAGATAGTGTAAAGTTTTGATATTGCTGTGATGGGGGTTGAGGTTTCTGTATTTACCGCTGCGGTCAGAATCTGTAGTTTTATACAGGTGCCGATGGATATTGGGATGTATGTGCTATGCACATTTAAATGCAGAGTAAATGATAAACAATTATGTATTTAAAAAAAAACGGGACTTGATGTAAATGATGTAAATAATTGGGAAAGGTATTAAAAAAATATTAAAACATGCCTTGAAGTGTCAAAATACGATTTCCATTCCCCCCACCCCCCGTCTTCCAGTGGCCTTTCTATTTGAGGCCTTGAACCTCACATTGCTGGGGGTGGGGCGGGGGCAGGGGAGATGGATTCTAGCCAGCTGTGTCCACACAAATGCAGCCTTGAAAACAGGAGCCGGGGGGATGTCAGTGTCACGAAGTTTCGCGGTGACTCTGAATCTAATGGTTTATTCTCGTTCCCCCAGTGGGGCCAGTTCACGCCCTGCCCACACTGTCACCAGCCAGGCTTTGCCTGGTGGTCTGCAAGGCAATTTGCAGTTTCATGGGGGCTGGTGGTGGAGCCCGCGCCGAGGGTCTGGTCCTCTGAAGACAAACTCAGTGTTTTCCAAACGCAGCAGAGACCACCAGTGGCTCTGGAAATCAATGTAATGGGCCCCGACTAGCCTTTTCTAAGCAGGGAATGGAATAATAGATGGTATAAAATGTAGAAAGAGAATACCAGAGTGTATTGATCATAGAGGTGTGGCTGGGTAATGCCGTCAGTTAAACACGCTCGGCTGATAACCGGAAGGTTGGACTTTCAGGTCCACCCAGAGGTGCCTTAAAAGAAAGACCTGGAGATGTAGCTTTAAAAAGTCAGCCATTGAAAACCCTGTGGAGCACGGTTCTACTCGGACACGAGGTGCCCCTGTGAGTCAAGGCTGACCATGTAATCGCAACTGGTTGGTCGGTATCAACCATGTAGTGGTACATATTGTTCTGTGAAAATGTAGTCTTTAATTACAGTATAATTATGCATAGTGCACATAAAAGGAACCCTAGTGATGCAATGGTTAAGCATTCAGCTGCTAACCAAAAGGTTAGAGGTTCGAACCCACCCAGCAGCTCCCAAGGAGAAAAGATTTGATGATCTGCTCCTGAAAAGATAACAACAGCCTAGGAAACCCTGTTACAATACACACATACCGTCAATACATATATACAAACATACTATGTCTTTGGTAGGTGCCGACGAGGCGGTTCTGACTCACAGTGACCCCGTGCACAACAGAACCAAACACTGCCCGGTCCTGCGCCATCCTCACAACCGTTGCTATGTTTGAGCCCATTGTTGCAGCCACTGTGTCAATCCATCTCATAGAGGGTCTTCCTCTTTTTTGCTGACCCTCTACTCTCCCAAGCATGATGTCCTTCAGGGACTGGTCCCTCCTGACAACATGTCCAAAGTATGTGAGACATAGTCTAAGAAGCATTCTGGTTGTACTTCCAAGACAGATTTGTTCGTTGTTCCTGCAGTCCATGGTATATTCAATATTCTTTGCCAACACCACAATTCAAAGGCATCAATTCTTCCATCTTCTTTATTCATTGTCCAGCTTTCACATGCATATGAGGTGATTGAAAACACCATGGCTTGGGTCAGAGTCTTCATCAAGGTGAAGATTTTTGCTTTTCAATACTTTAAAGAGGTCTTTTGCAGCAGATTTGCCTAAGCAGTACGTCTTTTGATTTCTCGACTGCAGCTTCCATGGGTGTTGATTGTGGATCCAAGTAAAATGAAATCCTTGACACTTCAGTCTTTTCTCCGTTTATCATGATGTTGCTTATTGGTCCAGTTGTGAGGATTTTTGTTTTATACATGTTTAGGTGTAATCCTGAAGGCTGTGATCTTTGATCTTCATCAGTAAGTGCTTCAAGTCCTTTTCACTTTCAGCAAGCAATATTGTGTCATCTGCATAATGCAGGTTGTTAATGAGTCTTCCTCCAATCCTGATGCCCTGTTCTTCTTCGTATAGTCCAGCTTCTCGGATATGTACATATATAAATGTATGTATGTGTGTATTTATGTACTTACCCAAAACCAAATCCACTGCCCTCGAGTTGATTCCAACTTATAGTGACCCTATAAGACAGAGTAGAACTGCCCCATAGGGTTTCCAAGGCTGTAAATCTCTGTGGAAGCAGACTGCCACATCTTTCTCCCATGGAGCAGCTGGTGGGTTCGAACTGCCGAACTTTTGGTTAACAGCCGACTGCTTTAACCACTGTGCCACCAAGGCTCCTACTTATGTACTTAGTAGTGACTGTTTTTTTATGTATTTATGTATATTTTATTAGATAAAAGATAGGTAGACAGACAGACAGATACATTGTCTTTACTAATAAGTACATAATCACTGTGGATTGTGTTAAACCCACTGCCCTTGGGTCGATTCTGACTCATAGCAACCTTATAGGACAGAGTAGAACTGCCCCATAGGGTTTCCAAGGCTGTAAATCTCTATGGAAGCAGACTGCCACATCTTTCTCCCATGGAGCGGCTGGTGGGTTTGAACCACCAACCTTTCGGTTAACAGCTGAGCACTTAATGACTGTGCCACCAGGACTCCTTTGTGGATTTCATTAAAATATATTAAATGCTAACCTGACAGGCCTAGAATCTAGGGTTCCTCCCCTTAGAATATATATCCAATCATTTTACAAAGTGACCCCAAAAATCCATCCAGGTTGGAGGATCCTAAATTGTACCTACCT